CTGACCTGCCTTTGCTGGCTAACACTGGCACCTCAAGAACCTTGAGTCCACAGTGCAGGCCCCAGCACTACTCTGGGGATGCTCTGCAGTCCCTTTGGGTACAGACCTCTTGCTGTTCCCTTCTCCCACCTTCCCCCTCCCCCAGAACCCTCCCAGCCCACCTGCCCCCAGCCAGTCTCGTGCTGCTGCTCTGCAAGGAGGGGTTTTGCACGACAGCAACACCATCACAGGTGCCACCCTCAGACCTCCAAGCAGTGGGAGGAGTTGTATTTTAAAGTGAAACCGAAGTAAAATGGTTGTGGCTTGTTTGCACTTGCACTCACACCCTTCTTGCAGGCACAGGGAGCTGTGTGTCCATTAGGTATCAGGACACACACACTGGGTCTGCCCAAACCTCCTCTGGTTTTGTAGCCTTGAGGCTCTGGCAATGAGGGTCTTCTGTCCCTCTGTCCTCTCTGTCCTGTCTCATCTCTGTGGGTCATCGATTTACTCCTACTCCTTTCTCTCCTTATTTGTGTGTCTCAGCTCCTGTGCTCTTCATCTTCCCATCACCATCCTTCAATGGTCTGAGCCTCTGTTCTGCTCCTGGGTATAGGCTGTCCCTTCTTTTAGGCTTATTTTGCCAGTAGCCCCAAACACAGCACGGCTCTTCATTTCACTGAGCACAGCACGGGCTCATGGGCCTCAAGGTGCTGCTTCCCCCACAGCTAACAGAGCAGGAGAGACGGCCCTGGACGTTGCCAGGAGGATGAGACACCCCCTGTGTGAAAAGCTGGTAAGGCACTGTCTCACCACCCCTCCTGTTTCAGGACACGTCCCAGCAGCAGAGAGCAGTGGGGGACCCACACCCACGTGGACCTGTCCACAGGCCCCCCTGTGCCCCCCAGCATCCCCAATGCCAGTGTGGGATGCAGAGGAGGGAGGGTGGGTGCTGGTCCTACTGGCACAGGGTCCCTTGGGGCAGTTTAGGACAGGCCAGGCCGGGGTTGCAGCATGGAGTGGGACTTGGATCTGTACTGGGGCTGTGCACCTCCTCAGCAAGTGCAGGCTTGGCTTTTCCATGTTCTGATTTGTGCATTTGGAGACCTTGGCAATGGCCCATTGCTGCTGGGGAGAACTGCCTGCAGCTGCAGATGTTGCCCTGCAGGGTGGGTGGTCGGATATGGGGCCTGTGGAGCTGGTGGGGTAGGACGGGTCTGGTGGGTCCTCAGGGAGCTCCTCTGTGCCCCAGCTGCTGCAGGCCCAGAGCAATCAATTCAACCCCCACGTCCACGTGGAATACGAGTGGTGGCCGGGACAAGATGACATGTTTGAGAGTGACGAGGACCTGGATGAGAAGGTGAGGTGCTGAGAGGGGCTGGGCTGGGCCCTGTGTGCTGCTGTGGCCTCGCTGCCTGCGCTGACGTGGGTGCGGCTGTACCTCCCACCCGTACACCCTCCATCCAACCTGCAAACCCCCTTTCCCAGATGGGGCCTGAGAAGAGGGGATCTGCCCATCCCCAGAGCTGCTACCAGCCCCCTGCTGCTGTCCCCTGGCCAGAGGCAGCACAGGCAGTGCCCCAGGGCGGGTGGCCGGACCCCTGCCCCTCACCAGCCCACCACCTACACGTGGAAGTGCCACCGGCCCCCTCCCATCCACCTCCACTCCCGCCCCAGCAGGCACAGCCAGGTGAGAGCCTGTGGGGGGGTCCTGTGGGGCTGGCAGGGTGAGCTGCTGCTGCAGCCTGGCCCCGCTGGCAGAGTGGGGTCTGGGAGGGAGCTGGGCCCCGACAGGGTGGGAGGGCTTGTCTGGTGCCATGGGTTGCCCTTTGGGCCTCTGCTCCTCAGGGTCCAAGGCTGCGTGGTCTGACCTAGCACTGATCCCTGCTTTGAAGAGCAGCACAACTGTCCCCCGTCCCCCCCTGTCCCCAGTCCCTCCCCTTTCCAGCTCCCAGACTGGGGGGTACTTGCTGCCCACACTGTACCATCGTGGAGGACCATGTTGCACCATGTTGCCTGACAGTGGTGGTTGCTGTTGTCCGCCTGTGATGAAAGGTGTGAGCAGATGAACCAGCCTGGTTGTGTTTTAGGTGCCCCGAAAGCCATGGACCCCCTCTGCACGTCTGGCCCCAGCAAAGTAGAAGAGCCTGGCCCACACCGATCTCTCCAGGAGCCAGATCCATGTTCTGGCCATGCTTGGAATGTCCCACTTCCTCAGAGGAGCAGTTTGGTAGGTGGCCAGGGTCAGCTCAGCTCCCACGTCTGCCCGTATTTATCCCCTTTGGTTTTGACCTGAGCTGCTATTGGCCTTAGCAACTTCTCCTTCCAGCATTTCTGTGATTCCCTGGCATTGACGTCTCCCTGCTAAGTGCTGGGAATGCTACCCCTGCCGTGTTCACGATTTCAGGTTGTCAGGTCAGGGAGTGTAGTTTTGGACAAGAGTGCAGTGTCCACGCTGGCCCTGCCCCTCTGGGCTGCAGGGGACACCTTTCTCCCTGATGATACTGCAGAGGCAGAGCCCTTTCATTAGGGACACCTTGCTTGGGTTGCTTGGTCTTAGGGTTGTGGTGACACAAGTCAGCACCGCTGACTCCTCACACAGACCTGCCCTGAGAGAATGGGGACCCCACACCCTGCACGGGCACACGCCACAGTCCTGGGGCAGAGGAGCGGCTGCCTCTGGAAGGATGTTCCAGCAGAAGGAGCCCCTGTCCCACCAAACTCCCAGCAGATGATCTGCTACCTCTGCACTACTCTCTGCACAGGAAATCTCCCAGTCTCTCATCCTTGCTCTTCACACCTTTGCCAGGGCCTTTGGGGTCAGGACAGTGGCCCCAGGACACAGTTTGTGTCTGACGATGTTCTCTCCTGGCAGAACCGACGGCTGCTCCGCAGGGTTCGCGCTCTCTATGACTGCGACGCTGACAGGGAGGACGAGCTGACTTTCCACACAGGCGAGGTCATTGTGGTGTCTGAAAAGGAGGACAGCAACTGGTGGGTGAGTGAACCTGTGCATGTAGCTGGCACTTGGATGCACATGATCCCCTCTCCAGACATCTCCCGCCTCTGTCCCATGACTGTTGCACACATTGTCATCTCCTGCTGTGCATCTGTGTCTCCATCTTTTTCCTGGTAATCAAAGGAATGCGTCCAGTTCCTCATCCCCCTGAATGCCCCTGTGTTGTGCTCACTGCTCCTTTTCCCTCCTGTCTCCCCACAGAAAGGGTGGATTGAAGGACAGCCTCACAGGCAAGGTGTCTTCCCTGTGTCATTTGTTCACGTGCTCAGCGAGTAGGAGCTGCTTCAATTCAAGAAGGAAGATCTGATCAGCTGCTCAAAATGCAATTCTCCAAGCTACCATCTGCACTCACTTCTGCTGCCCCAGCACTCATCCCCCAGCCCACCCCTCCTCTGGGCTGTGTCAGAGAACCTCTCAGCCAGCCAAGAAGCGAGAACACAGCAGCCCACGGGCTCCACAGCAGAGCTCCTGCCTCAGCCATGGCCCCATGCACAGACCAGCCTTGGTGTGCTCTGCTGCCCCATGCCCGGGCCCTGCCTTACCCTGTCCATGCTGCAGTCCTGTGACCTCCCTGCTCTGCTCCCTGGAGCTCCCTGCTCTGCCAGTGCTGGTGGAAGTGACGGCTGAGGGGAGCAGTGCTGTGGCTGTGGGGGGCAGTGCTGTGCCTTGCCGGGCTCGGGAGCTGCAGTGGGCTGGACTTCGGGAATGCAAACAAGTGCTGTGAAGCCAGCATCACAGAGCCAGTGCTGCCCCTAATTCCTCCCACCCACGTTTCACTCTGTGTGTGATCCAGAAAATGTGCTCTGTGGCAGCTCAGGGCACTGCCCCTCCAGTGCCTGGCTGCCCAGAAGTGGTGCAGAGTCCCCTTTGAGCCTGTCACCAATAAATACCGACTTTTTGTATTTCGCAGGGCTGCTCTAGTTTGAATTTCTAGATCCTTTGTCTTTGCACCAAACCTCAGGCACCAAACCTTGCAAAGCAGAGTGTTGACCTCCCCTTGGATAAAATTACTCACAGTTCAGCTGGCACTGCTTTTCCACTGGCTGTGTTTTTCTAGTTGCCAAGGCACATTTCACAGTCCTTCTCTGTCCTCTCTGAGCCAAAATCCCATCCAGGTGAGCAAAAGAAACCTGGTGAGGTGCTGGATGCACGAGGCTGTTGAGAGCTCCATGTCGCTGGTGTCAGTGACCCATCCCAGCAGGACACACAGGGGCAGGAGGGCAGTTCCACTCAAAGCAGCTTCTCCCACCTTCAGAGGAACTTTTTGATCATCAGTTTCCTGATTTGACCCTGAGAACATGGCCAGGGCATCCAGCCCCAGCGGGACCAGCAGCTGCCACGGTGCAGGGCTGTGTGGAGGGGCCGTGCCAGGATGCCAGTGGCAGGTACTGCTGGAGAAGGGACAGCAGCCCTGACCTCACTGTGCTGTTTGCTGTTCTCCCCCACGTCATGGTGCAACACTTCCTCTTCCCGTGGCAGTTGTTGCTCTTGCAACAAGCCCTGCAGAGGCCACCGAGCCCGGAAGCATCACCCTGCTCAGCGACGCTTCCCCCAAGGAGGTGAGGGGTCCTGGGGACTGGCTGGGAACCAAGAGGTCACGACACCAGGAGAGGCTCTTTCCCTGCTGTGGGACTGTGGAGATCCTGGCAGTGTTCCTTGCGGCTGAGTGGGAACAGACAGGTCTGTGGGCACTGAGTGCAGCCCAGTGCAGGGGCCACATGGCTGGGGCACGGTGGCTCGTGGCCAGGGTCTCTGGGCTGGGGAACCACAAGGCCAGGGCACCTCTGGACACAGGGACAGTGGGGTCATTTGAGCTGCCATGGTGGTGTGGGTGCAGGTGGAGGGGTCCCATCAGTGGAGCAGGGGCTGCACAGGGGCATGGGCAGGGAGACGAGGCCACTCAACTCTGCCTGTCCAGAGCCCTGCCTGCCCCAGCCACAGGTGACTGCAACAAACTGCATGAAATATTCCCTGGGCTGGGTCCCCTGGCTCTGGGCTTGTTGGAGCTGCTGGTGCTGGTCATGCAGCCCCCTGCCCACTCCCACCCCTCCAGGAGCTGTGGTTGAAAATCCCTGAGGCTCCACAAGTGCCTGAACCAGCCCAGGGACTGCTGGCACTGGCCTGACCAGTACATCAGATGGATGCTCTTTGCCTCCACCATGGCAAATGCTCGTGGCTGTTTGCAGGAGGGCAAAAGAGTAAGTCAAAAGGACCTGTGACCGCCAGTGAGGAGGGTGCCAGGGCTGTTGGGGTTCCCCTGAGCCTGAGGGGAGAACAGCCAGCATTTCACAGCAGCTTCCTGCTTGGGAGAACTCACATCTGGGTTTCCGGAGTGCTGGTGATGACTTGTTTGTGCTTTCCCTTTCAATATGAGGTGACGGTTCAGTGTCTTTTGGGAAGGACAAAGGGAGCACAACCTGCTGCAACCACTGGGATGGTACAAATTCCCCCATCCTGTTCCATCTCTGCTGGTTGCCTGGATCTCCTGGGGCAGCAGTTTTGCTGTCTAGGGCACGTCCTTGGGGTCAGATTTGAGTGCAGCAGCTTGGGCACCACAGTGAGCAGGGACATCCGTGCTGCAGGAGCTGCAGAAAATGGTTCATGTGGAGAAATGGAACCAGTGCTGACACACGGCCCCACCCAGGCAACTGGGGGAGGCACAGGGTGCTCCTGTGAGGACAGGAGGAGTTTTCTTTCCTTCAACTTTCCCAGCACACAGGGGACACCTCCATAAACCTGCTGTATTCTCTTCTCACCCTGGGATGAAGGCTGTGCCTCTAGCTCTGCTCTTCACTCTTGCCTCAGCCCACAGGAGCAGAGTCCTAAGTCACTGAGAACTTCATGAACTCCCTGAGGACAAGAAAACCCTTTTCCCTCTGACTTTACATTTACATGAGTGCTTTTAGACAGAGACCAGAAATGTTCTTCCTGGCAATGTTTCAGTGCCCTTGGAGCTGCAGAACCCCAGGGCTGCTCGGGTGGGAGCTGCACTGTGCCCATGGGGCTCCTCTGCTGGTGGGGAGGTGCCTGGTGGGGAGGGGCCCCACTGCTGGCACCCAACACACGTGGGGGCAGATGGGCACTGCTCTGATGGCAATGGGGGTTTGGCTTGTGGCCAGGGTGATGATGCTTTGGAGATTATTCACAGGCCAGCTTGCAGACCCTAAAAATGTTGCAGGCAGAGAGCAGCCCCTCATACAGCACATGCTGCCAGCCAGCCCTGCCCAGCCCTAGGTTGGTGGCAGTGGCAGCAGCAGAGCACAGTAAAAATGCCTTCGAACAGTTTGAAAAGGAAATGAAACCCAGGCTATTTCAGGTCCCTCAGGGTGGGTGAGCAGCCAAGGGGTGTCCCGGGAGGCTTGAGCAGGGAGGGTGGGTGAGAAGGGCTGCTGTGGTGCCACTGCCAATGGTCTCTGTGACATCTCACTGCAGGTGGCACGTGGGATGCTGAACCGGAGGCGCACAAAGGTGGTGCTGGCCCTGTGCCTGCTGCTGGCCCTGTGGCAATGTTTCCGAGCCCTCATGGATGACCTCGGCCCTGTCCCTTGGGCCCCCTCCCTCCTGCACACCCCTGGTGTCCCCTGCCCCGCCAGAGGCAACAGCTCCGCGTGGTTCAAGGAGCGCTACGAGGCGGCCGCAGGGCCCCTGCTGACGGGGGCAGCCCAGGAGCTCTCTGCAGACGTGGTTCAGTGGTGGCTGGTGAGCAGGGCCATGGGCAGGAGCGTGTGGCTCTTCCCAGGTTCCCTAAATCTGTTTTGCAGTGGGGCAGGACCAAGAACAGATGTGATTGGGATGAAGCGTGTGCAGAGATCCCAGCTCAGCATTTCCTCCCCCTTACCCCCCACCGTCCCCTGTGCTGTCCTGTACCCTTTTCCTAACGTCCCATCTGTTTTTTCCGTGTTTTCCCAGGGCTCTGCTAGGAGGAGAGTGGCTCTGTCTCTCTCTGGGTTACTGGTGGGGGGCTAATGCTGCATGTCACTGTGCTTGTTCCCTTAGACCCTGCAGGGTCCCATGAATGGTGTCCAGCTCCAGGCCATAATTCGGCAACTCTTCAGGGTCCTCCGAGCCCCAACCAGTGACGTGTGGGACCCCCCTCGCTGCAGGACTTGTGCAGTGGTGGGGAACTCGGGGCGGCTGAAGGGGTCCAGCCATGGGCTGCTAATTGATGCTCATGACTGGGTGCTGAGGTGGGTGACCTGAAGAGACTTGGTCTCTCCCTGTCTTCCCAGGACGCTGGCATGCCCCAGCCATGCCGTTGAAAACACAAGCCCCGTGATGGGGGTGACTGCTAACCCTGTTCCCTTGAGCCCTCCACTCTGGGGCACACACTGGTTCTGTGTCACCCATGCCCACTCTTTGCTGCTGGCCAGGGTGACCTGCTGTCCATGCCTGGTGGGACCAGGAACCTGGGACCAGCACGGCATGCACCTTCATTTTGGGACACACCATCCTGCTGTCCTTTAGGATGAACAGAGCAAAGATTGCTGGCTTTGAGCTGGATGTTGGCACGAGAACAACCCATCACTTCATGTACCCAGAGAGTGCAGTGAACCTTGGGCCTGGCGTCCACCTCGTCCTTGTCCCCTTCAAGCCCCTGGACCTGCAGTGGGTGACCAGTGCCTTCTCCACTGGACAGGTCACACGGTGTGTCAGCTTTGGGGGATGGCATCTCTTGTGCTGGAGACCCTCTGGATGGGACAGTGTGGTCTGGGGGCCCTGGTGCCTCACTGGAGCCCTGGCACCACAGTCCTGGTGGGACAAAGCGTGCTGGGTGCATGTCTTAGCATCCCTCTGCACTGCAGTTTGGGGTAGTGGACACTGAGCTGTCCCTGCAGGGCTCAGCCAGCCTGGAGTCCCACACCCCTGTGAGAGGGAGGGGGCTGTCCCCACTGTGGGGCCGGGGGGTTGATGTGTCCCTTCCTAGAGCCAGGCCAGGCAATGCTGCTGGGTCAGCCAAAGGGGCTGGGGGTGCCTCAGGGCTGGGAGCTGGTGGACACCCCTGTGAAGAGAGGGGCAGCCCCAGCAGCGGCAGTGCCACGCGCTCATCACTGGCTTCTGCTTTTGCAGCACGTATGTGAGAGTCAAACAGTTCATCAGAGCTGACAGAAACAAGGTAAGGGCTCCCTGGGCTCCAGCTCCCTGGGGCAGGCAGGGCTCTGCTGGGCAGAGCTGATGGTGCTCTGCTTGGGGCTGCTGGGCTGTCCCACTCCAGCATGAGAGCAGCTGATGGCTCCTCCACTCCCCACTCAGGTGCTGATCCTGAGCCCAGCATTCCTCAAGTACATCCATGACAAGTGGACGCAGCACCACGGGCGCTACCCCTCCACTGGCTTCACGGCCCTGCTCTTTGCCCTGCACACCTGCCAGCAGGTGAGCACAGCCCGCGGGCCCCGGGGCCGCGCCCACATCGCCCCTGCTCTGCCCGTCCGTGGGCTTCCAGGGTGCTCCAGCGCCCACACAGCCACGGCTCTTGCTGCCGTGTGCACAGGTCTCTGTGTTTGGCTTCGGAGCAGACAGCAAAGGGAACTGGCACCACTACTGGGAGGAAAACCACGGGGCCGGAGCCTTTCGCAGGACGAGGGTCCACGATGCCGACGTCGAATTCAGCATTATTGAGAGACTGGCAGATGAAGGCAGGATTTTATTCTACAAATGAGGCATTTCCAAGAAACTGAAGCCAGGCTGTTGGGTCAGGAACAGGCAGCCCCTGTATTGCCAGCAGCTGCAACACTTGCTGCTCCACTCCACCCAAGCTGGGCTCACAGACCCTGCAATCCCCAGGGTCTTGGTGCTGCTTGTGCTGGTCCCAGCAGCTGGGCACTGTGGGTGCCGTTCTCCTGTGGCACCAGGGATGTTGTGTTTAGCTGGACATGGAGTGGGCACGGCTCTGCCCGTGCTGGCTGGGAGGGAGGAAGGGGAGCTGGTGGGGCTAGAGGTGGGCACGGAGCCCAGGAGCTGCTGTGCCGGTGCCACGGTGGCTGCGATGCCGCTCTTTAGGCAGGGTGAGGGGGGCATCTCCCCTTCTTGTCTTTTTATAACTAAGGAAATAATTTTTACATTGTATCAAAGAAGAAGGAAAAAATCAAACATGCTCACAGAGACAATGGAATCAAACACAGCCGAAGTGATCTTACGTTGAATAAACTCTGAAAACACATGTGAATCTGTCATCTGCTTTACTTTTATCTGTTATCTTAACATTTTATCTGTTATTTGCTTTACTTTTTGACCCCTTACAACTTTGAAAAGGGCACAGTTTCAGCCCCACCTGCAGAACAAGACTGCAGACCCTGGGGAGTGTCCTAAAGGAGGTTTCTCTCCTCCAGAGCAGGGTTAGCAGGATGTCTTTTATCACTTTCAATCACAAACATCCTTGATCCAGCTTTACCACAGCTATTAGTCACTTGGGCTTTCAGTCTATCAAAATCACCAGAACTCTTGTACTCACATCCTTCCAACTGGTATCAAAAGCCTGTATTATTTACCTATTAGTGCCATTGATTTTCTGCCTCTCCAGGTAGAATCTCCATTTCTGCATCTTTGATTTCTCTTCTCAACTCTTCCCAGTTTCCCTTTCTGAGTCTTGCACCTTCCCTTGATTTTCTCTAGGTGCTCAGCAGTGCCCTGGGCGATGCTCTCCAATGCTTTTCTAAAGTTTACAAGTAACTGGCTTTCTTATCAAGGACAAGCCACTACCTGATAACTGCTTCACTGGGGGTTAAACTCCTGCTGCATTATTTCCATTCACCTTCCCCCCTCCTGACTATTCTTACAAATTTAGTTACAAAGCTGAGTGCTCTGGTGACTGAAGCTGTTCAGTTCACTTTTTGTTCCTGATCAAACATACAGACACTGCAGTAGTACTGTATGATCCTGACCCAATGGATTCATTAAATATCCTTGTAAAAAAACTACATTTAAAACAAACCTCTTTTTCAGTATTCTAGCTTGGAGATTAATGAGTCTCCTTACACACACCTCAAATTGCTTCTCTCCCTGGTTGCCAAAACCAGTTTTTTATACTCTCCGGTTTATAGGTAAGTTCAAGTAATTCAAAGAACCAACCAACCAACCAAACCTACTTTCAAATGAATTATAAAACAGCTTTCTCTCTGCAGTATCTGATCCTGTGCCTGTCATGCTCTATGTGCACTGCTGGACCAATTGCTTGGACCAAGATTAGAGTCAATACCAAAGCAAATCCAGAGCTGAGATTTAAGTGTAAGCAGTCTGTTTTACCTCAAAATAAGGCAAGAACCCCCCAAAATTTTTTCCTCATTATTTTCAAATTTCTCCCAATATAGTTGCACATACCAAGCACTTCACTCACTTGTGTAGATTATTTAAAAGAAAAAAGCCCCATCATCATCACGATCTCTACCTACTTTGCCACAATGCAGGTGTGTCTGTTAATTCTAATTTCCAATTCAGTACCAGGATTAGTTCAAATAATTTAATTATTCCTCCAAATGCTTTACCAAAACAAAGACAGGATGGACTTCATTTCAAAATATACACCAAGAGGAAGTGAAAAAAAAAAATCCAATTTAAAAATCCATTAAAATTCCAAATGCTTTTTTTTTCCTAAAACATGAACTTGCATCTTTCATAAGAAAAACAAGTGGGAGCCCCCTAGTACAGAAAGCACATCCCAAGTGCTTGGGCTCCCCACACAGCCCAGACTGGGATGGGATTCAGCACATTTTCACAGAGGTCTGGCACACAGCAGCAGCACACTCAGAAACATTTGTAAGAAAAATTAAAAAGCCCAGATGGTGTTGCTAGAAAGCTTGTTTGATGGCAACTTCAATCCATTACAGGTCTCCCAACAATAAAGTCCATTGTTCCTGGAGGCAAACAGAATGCACCAACTCCAGCATCTCTGTCAGGAACGGGGGCAGAACCGGATGAACATGGACTGACACAAAAGGGGTTTTACAGTAGGGTCTGTACAGCCAGATACAATGGCTCATCTTTAGAGCAGCGAGGTTCAAGCCTTCCATCCACAAATTAATGCCAAGGAATGAGGGGACAGTAATACAAGAGTGGTTGGTGCCATCAGGAAGTTCCAAACCTTTTCTCCTGTGCACTCAGAAGATCACTTGTGTTTCAAAAAAGCCTTTTTAGTTCTCCTTAAGAGTTTTTTTGGGGGGGGGATGAGGTCATTGCTTATTTATGTTGTCTTCCCAAGTTCAATTTTCTTCTGGATGGCACGTGCTGAGTGATAGATCAAGGAGTCAATGAAACCTGCAACTAAAGGGAAAAAACAAATGGATCAAGCCAGACATGCCTCAAAGAGAGAACAACTCCCAAGGAAAGAAAACACCTCTCCCATTTCTTGCTCATTTCACAGTAATCTTGAAAGTAAACTATTCTGTCACATACTACCCTTGATGGCTGCTCTTTATCAGAAACTGCAATGCACACCCACCTAGGACACAAAGCAAACCAAACCACTGCCTTTGGTGCTCTCTGCAGTATTTTCCCCAAATCTTCCCAGCCCTGAAGAAGCCTATTAATTCAATGTTTGTTTGGCACCACAGAAAAAAACTCAGAATGGATCTACTGCACCACAAACCCCTGACAATCCTGCATCCACCATTTCACAGGACAGGAACCCTGAGCTCCTGCCTTGGAGGGAACACAGGGAGCCTTTTTTTCAATGCTTTTATGAAGCTTCATGTTCTTTTTTCTTTTATTCAACACCTCAATACAAGGAATAAGTAAGTGATTAGTTGGCCCTACACAAGGACACACACTCATGGAGCTGAGCAGATACTGATTAGCTACTCCAGAAGCCAGCACTGAGAATGAAGTGCAGACACTGAGATGGCTCTGCAGGAACAGCCTCTCCTCACAGGACACTGTCCAGTCCCTACAGAGCACTCGCTGGAGCTCCTGTGTCTGGGAGCACAGTTTGAAACCTCTGGGATGATTACAACCCATGGCAACCTGGGTTCACAGATTTTACTGGCTTTGGTTCCACATGAATCCCACTGTCTGCTTACAGACCCAAGCTGGCCAAGAAAACAGCACAGATGCCTTCATACAGTGTGTGAAAACTAGCTTTGTTTGAGAACAAATGTTCTGTAGAGCATCAAAATGAAATATTATGACAGGTCTAATGAAATGAAATAGTATAATAGATCTACATCATCTACAGCATCTTGTAAGTCTGCAGTGCTAATTACAATCTGATGCTGCTCCTGTGGCTCTGCAGAACATGCTATATCCCCTCCTGAAGGCTGAAATCATCTCTCCTCATCAAACAGGAATTTATTACCAGCCATTCTGACTTCAGAAAGAGTAAGATAGCAAATGTTTGCACTTTAGAAAGAAAAAAGATTGAAAGGTGCAATACCTGTAAATATGCCTCCCACAATGGCACACACTCCAGTGAGAAAGTGAGTAAAGGACCTATAATTTGAACAATCAGCATGAGCTCAGGTAAGGAACAATTCACTAACAAAAACTAATTCATAATGTTCATCATACCACATAAGTATGCATTATCTAAATACTCATAGCTGAAAATTCATAGATTTAAGAATTAATATTGGCTACAGAACGGAGTTTGTCACTGATACTTTTACTGAGCATCACTGAGTAGCATGAAGAGCAAGTACTGAATTTATAAACCTAAAGGATGGACTTTTAATCCCCAAGACATTATCCATTCCTACCCAGACAGAATGTACAGCAGGCTGCTGTAACACAAAAACTAAATCCCTAACTACATGTTAATACATTTTAAGATACAGACATTGTCTGTCCCCCATTATGAACCTCAAATACCAGAGAGCTACAACTCCCCTGCGGTTACACGCCAGTGATTAACCCAGACAGAAGGAAGAGGTTCCACACTGGCTGCAAGATGCAGAAAAGCTACAGCAAATGCAGAGTAAGGAACCCGTTGGACCAGCATGGGTGCTGCTGGAGGTGCTGGTAAGATGGGTATGCTCTGTAAATCTAGCCCTCCCACTAAAAATTAGCCTGAACCAAGAACCATTACATCAGACTTTGCTCCCTGCACCAGTTTACTTTTCCATCCTGATGCTGGATTAAAATGCTTCACATAATAACAGAAAAACCCTCAACCCCTTATGGACGCTCACACGGAGAGGAAGGGCCTCAGGGAGCACCTCTTCCTCCCCACTGACTGGGAAGGGGCTCGGAAGGCTTTCAGGCATTTGCACTCTTCTGTCTAAGTGAGGATGAAGTTTTAAGCTATGCAAAATGACCAAATCAACGAAGGGTGAATGAACTAGACTGAAATGTCCCTTACCTGTGTTTCTCAGTCAGCTTCACCATCATGGGCGACAGTTCATACAGCACAAACACACCAGGCAGACCCTGGTCCCCCAGCAGCCCGTTGGCTATTTTCTCATGTCGTGTGACTGAGAACTGGTTGGTCCTTACCACCTACAAAACACAGGAAACAAACACAGCATTTTTCTGTTAACAGGGAACAGCAGAGGTGACTAAACCATGAGGCCAGTGAAGCACCTCAGTGCAGCCCTGCCCACCCACTCATGGGCGGCCTGAGAGCGGTTACAAGGAGTCAGAAGGAGCTCTATCACAATTGGGTCTATTTTTACTACAGGCTACCAGTTAAAGCCCCAACTAGCCCAAAGTATGAGGGATGCATCAGTCCCCAGGCTGGACTACTTGGTCCCTGCTGGCAAGTAATGGCATAAGCTGTCCCTCTCAACCCCAAGTCCATGTCATCCTCTCCCAGCACGCAGTCCAGCTAAGGATGCTACAGG